GACTTCATCAGTAATGTTTAGGCATCGCAGCACAAGTGTCTAACGTAAAACTTAATAGTTTAAATGATAATTTCTAAAACATAATAAACAACAGACTGGGGTCTGTACTGTCCCCTTATCTTGACTTGCCTCTTTAAAGGATAGTGATGGAGTGAGTGAGTTTAGCTTTACGCCGCCCTCAGCAGTATTCCAGCTATATGGCGGCGGTCTGCAAATAATCGAGTCTGGACCAGACAATCCAGTGATCAACAGCATGAGCATCGATCTGTGCAATTGGGAACCGATGAAATGTGGGTCAACGAAGCCAGCGAGCCCAGTCACCCGATCCCGTTAGTCGCCTCTTAAGACAAGCATGGGTTACTGAAGGTTCATTCTAATCCGGACCTTCACGGGTCCTTTAAAGGATAGAATTACTATACATCCAAGGCTAGGAAGTACCATACATGTAGAATATTGCATGTGTACACGATTTCAGTTATATCTGTGTTTTGAAGATATGTCCCAGGTGGTGCTGGAGTTAATAGAGTATAAGCATAATTGATAGAACTCATTGTATACCCCTTGGTCACATATTCACTGGTACTATAGAACAGTGTGAGAGTTGTAAATAACAGCGATTACTAAGTCAGATTCTTACAGGGAGTACCATGTATGCCTTCTTTCAGCACGTCCTATCCGTGCGGAGGCGGTAGGGTAGCCTAATGCTTAAGGCGTCCGCTGATGTTCGATTCCCCACTGGGTACAATCACTGGATGATTTTATATAACATGACAGAAATTGTTGTGTTGGCTCGACATTCTTTCTTCCAAAGTGGTGTCCCTGACATTGCGAAGCTAATAATAAGATCACTTAAAGAGATTCACACTTCAAGGTTGTTCGTCAGTTTGTGGAACATTGACTAACGTAAATGCATACTTACATTCCGTTACCCCACCTGTGGTGAGAAACTGCATTTCAGTTAGGTTCCGCTCATATTTCTATGAACACTGATGGTTCGATATTAAAAGTATCATGTCCTTATGCTTAAAATGTCTCAAAAGTTTCAAAACGCCATGTGCAGTTCTTTAATATATAACATTAGATTAAATGAGTCCCATTATATACATATATTATACTCATGCCAATAATGGTTGTCACCCCCTTCAAAAACATTTATTGGAGAGGTGGTGTGGGTGTGGGGTTGGGGTTGGGAGGGGGGTGACAACCATTATTGGCATGAGTATATTTGAGAACACAAATATTACTCAGAACTATACTGAGAGAAACAAATAAAGGAACACAGGAAAATTCAAGTGTTCCTTTAATATGTTCCAGTTTTCATCACCAGCTTTGAATAGCGCTGTGGGAGGAAATCTGAGAATAAATAAGGAACACTGCCATGAAGTGGTGTTCCCTTGTTTGTTTCCTTCGGTATGATATTAAAAAGGAAATATATCACAAATGTTCTTTTTTATATTACCTTTTTTACTTATTAGTTATAGATTGCAAAGGAATTCCATCTTCACATACAAAATAATGAATAATTCATATTTTTGGTCTTATTTGACACAAAAATTGATGGGTGTCCTTAGCATAAGCCACATTATGACAGTTTTATATTCCTTATATAGCGCCAGTCGGCTACTCACGTGGAAGTAATCAGTTGTTCCACGGCGTTATATGATGACACTGTCACGCAAGGTGACGTACTACAAGCGTCGCGTTTACCCTAGGCAAAACCCGAGCTCCCTTAATAGAACCATAGACGCACGTGACTTAAATTAACAACTCATATACAATTCAGAAATGCAAATATTTCATTTTACTCGTTTCAAAGTAGTGACTTAAAACTCTACGTTCTACGGCAGCTTTCGTGTTTCTGGAAATGGGAAGTCATATGTCAATCTCATATCTTTCCCATGCTTCTAGCGTGAGGTTTGTGAGAAACCACGTGCTTACTGAGACGGCTAGTAAATAAATAAATAAATAAATAAATAAATAAATAAATAAATAAATAAATAAATAAATAAATAAATAAATAAATAAATAAATAAATAAATAAATAAATAAATAAATAAATAAATAAATAAATAAATAAATAAATAAATAAATAAATAAATAAATAAATAAATAAATAAATAAATAAATAAATAAATAAATAAACAAATAAATAAATAAATAAATAAACATTTGACACATCAACCGCCTCGCTGAAAAAAGCGTCCATTCATGTATGAGAATGGCTAAAATTGAAACAAGCAAGAAATGGTTGCGACTTAACAAAGTTTAATGAAATCCCACCCACAACACTACATAATGGAAAACAGCCTCAAGTGGTGGCATGTGGTCCTGTGCATTTTGCTCAGGTCACAAATCAGTTGAAGTTAAGCAACGATAGGCGCGAAGAGTCTTTAGATGGGTGATCATGTTCGGCAGCTTGACTCCTGAGAGTTTCTAGGCTTTCAGTCCTGCCCCACAACGAAGCACTTGTGATACATGGCTCACCTTGGGCAAGTGAGTTTGTTCAAACACGCCTGTTCACCCGGCAGAAAATGGGTACCAGGTGGGATAGGTCATGTGACTTTAACCTTCTAGCGCCTCATAGGCAGCTTGGGTTATCTGTCTGTTTGTATGCACTTGGTGTTTGGAATTATTAAAAAATCATTAGGTGTGTACTTTTCTTTGTACGTCAGTTTAGGTGTCCGAGCCTCAAGTCAAGTCAAGTATTTTTATTCCGTATGTAGGCCACAGGCCCATATACAACATACATACATTTGTTTACAAATATAGATACACTTTAAAGGGCAATAATACACGTGTTATTTGTTCGAATAGATTTCTTGTCAGTATAAATATAATATTTAATATAAACATATATACACACCTTTATAAACATTTAAAATGGAAAAAATGTGTGGTTTAAAGAAAATTTATTGGAGTTTGATTGCTCTGATTTTATAAGCATGAAAGATATATTTACACAAATTTCTTAAAAGTGTTTCATTATTTGTTGATAACAGGGACTTAAATTTATAGTAGTTTGGTTGTTTCTGATATACATATGGCAAGTATTTTAATCTAAGGGAGTTATATTCAGTACATATAAAAATAAAATGATACTCATCTTCCACACCCAGCTTACACAATGGACAATTACGTTCTGCAACCTCAACATTTAACCATCTTCCCTCATTATACTTTAACCTTAATAACCCACATCTAAATTTGATCAAAATATTTCGAAACTTTTTGTCCAAGATACATGATAAATATTTTTCTGGAGTTAACAGACTTTTAAACTCTCGGTAAATACGGTATCGTGAACTGTTATTCAATGTACAATTCCATGATTGAAAAACATATTGATTGCAACAGTCTTGAATCTATTTACAAATGAAGCTGCATCACCAACTGTCTGAGACATCCAGACGTAACCAAATCCATGTGAAAAAAGTATTTCTCTAATATATGAAGCATATGTCTTATATCCACAGTTATCGTAATACATTTGCATTTTGTACACTTTTATAAAGAGAGGATATCTTTCACACTCGCCATATACAATAGGGAAAACAATAAAGGGCTAAGAACTCAACCTTGCTTTAAACCAATTGGACAGTCAATATACTCAGTATATCCGTTATCACTTCTAACACAAGCTGTTACCGAGCTGTAAATACTCATTTTAGCAGTTAGCATTTTCCCATGTAAACCAGATTTGAATAAGCGCTTATATAACTTAGAACGGTCAATTGAATCAAAGGCTTTTCTAAAATCGATAAAAGCAACATATAACGTTTTCCTTTTCTTAATTAGACATTTTTCTATAACACCATGCAAAGTAAAAATATGATCAATCGTAGAGTACCCCTGTCTAAAGCCTGCTTGTGTTTCAGGAACTTTACTCCATATATTTGCCCAGTTCGTGATACGGACACTTAAAATAGATGTATATAATTTACTTAATATACACAATAAAGAAATCCCCCTGTAATTATCTGGGTTTTTGCGATCACCCTTTTTATGTAAAGGAATAACTATTGTTTTCGTCCAAGCCATGGGAAAAACACCTGTGTTAAAAATACTATTAAACAATATCTTTAAAAAAGTGAATACATAGAGGTAGTGAATACATAGAGGTAGTGAATACATAGATGTAGTGAAAACATAGAGGTAGTAAATACATAGAGATAGTGAATACATAGAGGTAGTGAATACACAGAGATACTGAATACATACATGTAGTGAATTCATAGAGGCAGTGAATACATAGAGATAGTGGATACATAGAGGTAGTGAATACATAGAGGCAGTGAATACATATAGGTAGTGAATACATAGAGATAGTGAATACATAGAGGTAGTGAATACATAGAGGCAGTGAATACGTAGAGGTAGTGAATACATATAGGAAGTGGATACATAGAGGCAGTGAATACGTAGAGGTAGTGAATACATAGATATAGTGCATACATAGAGGAAGCGAAGGTAATGGGGTAGTTGATAGATAGAGGTAGTGGATACATAGAGGTAGTGAATACATGGTGGTAGTGAAGATATAGGGGTAGTTGATAGATGTGGGTTGTGGATACATAGACACGTAGATAGATATAGTAGAGGGAGTGAATACATATATATAGTGAATACATATATTTAGTGAATACATATATATAGTGAATACATAGATGTAGTGAATACATAAAGGCAGTGAATACGTAGAAGTAGTGAATACATGGGGTAGTGAAGATATAGGGGTAGTTGATAGATGTGGGTTGTGGATACATAGACACATAGATATAGTAGAGGTAGTGAATACATAGAGGTAGTGAATACATAGAGGTAGTGAATACATAGATATGGTGAATACATGTATATACATCTTTATAAAACTGCTCCTTTTTGTACATCTCTTGCTTCCACGCCCTTCCCCTTGTCTTCTTCATCAGCTTACTGCCTACCCAATTATGTTAATTGTGTTGTTTCCTTGGTTACATGCACTATATATACTTCACATCCTCTTCATGTATCATTCCTGCTTGACAACGGTACAAGAATCTGTATCGAAACGTCGCACTCAAGAAATAAAGAAGTTGTTATCCATACAGTTTGTTCAATATTGATAGATATCCTTCATTACCGATGAGGTAAACATCAACGAAACTGTCAGGCTATCACTGACAAACTATTAGAAGCCTAAGCGTAAAACCTACCTCACTCACTCACTTATTATCTGAAGTTATTATCTTGTCTTTCCTGTACTAATCATCTTGTTTCCCCCCAGACTGCAGCGTCCTATCTGGACAAGGTGTTGGGAGCCTCCGTCATGGTCAGGAAACACCGCAATGGAAACTTCACATTGGTAAGTTCAACACCATGACTGTCTCTTCACTGAAAACTGATTAGTTACCCCACGCTGCCATGTCACTAATCTTACGACTATTTCATACTTATACATGTATACGTGTTTAACACCTTCACTATGTAATATTGCCAATGGCAATACCATGATTCCCATTGCATTAGATGTGTAAAGAAGTTCTATACAAGGATTTGTAATCACTGCCATAAGAACGGAAGGTATGGACACATGTACTGCACGAAAAAGATTTCACTCCCAAACTGTCCAATATAACCACACTTAAAACCAGACCTGCCGAGTTCGATTCTACGTTACTATAGACACGATATAGATGCAATGCAACAAAGAGTATGCCAGTATAAAGTAAATTTGGGAATTGGGTGGTCATGCTCGCTGACTTGCTCGATGCTCATGATGTCAATCACTGGATTGCCCAGGTTTAGTTATTTACAGACCGCGGACAAGTAGCTTGAATTTTGTTGAGTGTATCGCCAAACAGCAAACATACATTTCTTTGAGAAATATTCATCTACTAATGAATATGTCGGAGAAAGTCCTTGTTGTTTCTTTGATTACAAAACGGAACTATCGTCCAGGGTTATATGCATTTGTGTCTATGACAAAGAGGAAACGTGTTCCACTTGTATTGCAGGAAGGGACATACTACGATACCTCGGGGCAGGTGCACATCAGCCATATCGGTGGCCCCAAATATGCCGTACATCAAATTGCCGAGGTGAATTATGGGAACGACTTTGTGATCAACTCCGGTATGTTTTTACGTTTCAAAATATCATCAAGAATGTTTTAAATACATCTGTGTATATGTCAACATATATGTCAATCCGGATATGTGAAAGAACTGGAATATCTTAAATACATGTAACGACTGTCTATCGAGGTTTCTTACATCCTAAACTTTACTTTCAACTTAAATGTGCATGTCTGTTCTAGAAACCATCGCGAGACCTCCACACACGACAACAGCACGAGTGAGACGTAGCAGTGTTGACGAATATACCATCGAGATCCTGTTCTGTGCAGACTATAAAGACTACTCCAGGCACGTTATCCTCATTATTCGTGTCCATCTTAGTATATATTAATGGCATCATTTGTCATTTAGCTTTCATTGAAACTATTTCTTTTGACAAAAAGTTATAACCTTGATTTCACATTACTATTTTCTCAAAACAGAAGTGTGTATTCGCAACAAAAAAAAACGACATATAGCGGGAATATTGCTGAGTGCGGCGTAAAACTAAACTCACTCACTCACTAGCAGAAAAAAGGCTGATTACAGAATGGGCCGTGTCGTCGCATTTGATATAACCATTGGTTTATGACAGGGTCTGAATTAATGCCAGATTGACAATGCGAAGGCCTCTTGTCCACTCTTGCAGTGATTGGCCGATTAGCTGTTCATGTCCCAGAAAACTCACTTGTCTTGCGCAAGTGAGCAGCGATTTGATTGGCTGTTTTGTCTCCATTTCTTAAAGCCTGTATTTGTTCTTAATCGCCTCTGGACTTGTGTTGTTTGAGGACATGCACAGAGAAAGCATAAAGTTTCATTGCGTCGTGTCTGGGAGTAATTTTACATAAATAACCGTACCTCTGAGGACCGTTCATAATGTTTATATGTGTTGATATCCCATTTTTCTGTTCAGAGTATTACATGTATATAATTTATTATGCAAGCATATATTTCCGGTTACCTGATTGGTCTAGAGGCGGTCACGTGACCGTCGGCAGAAAAGCATATTGACTCCAACCCAGGTCCGACCAAACGTCATATTGACCTGAGTTACTATGACGTCAAGCTATGACGTCATTCTATTGTTTACATGTCACAGTATTGTTGACATAACGTTATTGGTTTGTAATGAAATAAAATTACTTTTCTTGACTAAATGGAAATGTTTTGATTTTAGAAGCTTTATTTCGGTAATTACATAATAAAACATAATTCGGTCAGTACCTGTTTTTATGGACCGAGGACGAAGTCTGAGGTCAATATTGCTTTTCGCGGGTCTATAAAACAGGTATTTACCTCATCACCAGTCTATAATTGTATACTGTTCACCTTCTTATCATCATTGATACATTGCAGTTGGGAGAATCACTTCCACAACCGTACTCTTGCCCACAGTGAGATGAGATTATATTATGCATTCATTGCACAGTCGGTGAGTGGCAGCTAGAATTGGAAATGTCAGACCATCACCACCATCATCATCACCACCACCACCACCATCATCGTCATCATCATCTCGTCATCATCATTAATATCGTTATTATTTAAATAAAAATAAATGCAACAAAAAGGGTCCGGATGATCATGCAGAGTCAGGCAGACTGTTAGATTAGGATCCTTTTTAGTCACTTCTGCGTGTGACTCAGTCGGGGAATGAGACACCTGAGCGAAGAGATTCCCCTGAGCATAAGACGAAAATAGTGATGAAGATTATTGAACAGACAATAATCTGTGATGGCAACCTTTAACCCTCGATCACTTCATAGCATGTTGTACTTTATGACCATAACAGAAATCACTGCCATAAATCAGGACTTTTCACTATAAGGATGTAGAAGTGAAACACATTCTGTCTCTACAGCAACACCTGCGTTATTTTCTTTTTGCAATCTGTCAATTCATTACTGTTGCAATCCGTCATGTCTCGTAAATCTACTTGATTTATAGAAATAGATCTGTCCCTGATTACTGATCGTAAACTCGATTTATGTGATATTCTTGTGGAGCTTGTATGTGGCATTAGGGCAGCGTTTTGTTGGGTAATCTGTCTTATCCATGATCTGCTCGAGTGGCTTTGATTGCTCGTAATTTGTACCTTTGATTTTTTTTCTACAGATATCTATGAGATATGCCAGCGTGACGGATGTAGATCCACGCATAAAGATTAACATACTTGTCACCGGCCTGCTGATTCTGGACGTAAGTAATACATTGTCAATACATTGTGGAAAGGCAGAAGACAATCATATGTCGTATCAAAATAATCAACACACCGTGTTAAGATAATCCACACATCGTTGAAAGACAAATAGTTATCGTGTTATGTACACCTGGAAAAGGGTTAAACACCCCCGATAATGTTTACACATTTGTACGAATCGGCTAACATTAGTTATGTGCAAGCTCAGTACGTTGGTACAACTGCATGTTGTTCTGTAAGATCATGTCTTCATTACACGAAAACAAAAGAGGACATTTTCCTTCAACATATTTGTTGTTGGATATTTTGGATATTGTACAATACACAAATCATCTGTTTTGGCTCAAAATGACACATGTTACAAGTGTGAAGCTGGATAGAGTTCCAGGCAACATGGCAAGAGTCTGATGAGACAAAAACGTGTTATTTGTACCCCGGGATCGTTGTACAATAATTCAATATCTAGTGTACCCTCCGTGTGCTTGGATAACTGTCTGTACCATACGCCGTATCCGCCCGATAAGGTCCCCTATGTGTAAGGTCTGGACTTATGGACTTTAGTCACTGCATAAATGAATGAAAGCTGTCATTGCACGAGAACGATGAGGCCTAGCGTTGTCATCCACAAATATAGGTCTTACAGCAATAGGATAATCATCAAAATGGGCATTAACAACTGGATACAGTACCTCGTGGATTTAGTCACCCGTCAAATTCCAGTGTATTGTCTCCCAGTCAAGTTTACAGTTATGAGAGACACATCCCCACACCAAGACGGAATCTCCACCGAAGGCAACAGTTGGTTGACTCTCAAACGCCCATCAGTTACATAAAGAAGGAATCGGCTTTCATTAGACCAGTGTATTCTTCGCCGAGTCCTCAGTTTCCAACGTTCCCATGCCACCAAGCTGAACGTGATCGCTCAGTAGCGGACGCTCGATGACCCTTTTAGAGTTGTACCCGGCTCTCCTGAGGTGATCCTTAGGACTTTTCGAATTCTCGTACAGACCCGGCGAAATTGTAACCAGTGGTGCTTCAGAATTAGTGCTTGTGGTGAATGTCTGTCGTCGAGTGAGCCTCAGTAGTGCTCTGTTTTCACTATCTGACGACACCCTGGGTGAGCACATCCCAGGAAGTGAACTCACAAAGAATTTCGGAGAATGTAAAGATCCCTTCCCCAACACTGCAGATTTCTGCAGTACCCCAAATGAACTCTGCTAAACAGCGTCAGAACTTGCAGCAAACCATGTTACTCTCTAAATGCCTGTCAAATGATTGAGATGTACCAAACCTGAGAACGCAGGCGATCCTTCACCTCTTTGATTTTCCTGTATTTTCTGAACAAACGACTGACAGCTATGTAGTGAACATTACCTTCCTGACATACCGGAGTTACGCATATCAATAATGTGCGCCCTACCCCCACCCGCGGCCATCTCATATTCTCCTTCGTACCATAGTAGTAGAAACTGATTGAACATTGTAGAACCTGCAGATACAATGTCGACACGTGCAAGTTGGATTAGAACATAGTTCTTCTAGCGGTCAACATAGTTAGGGTGCTTAACCATTTTCCGGATGTACTGTATATTTTTCGCGTTCATGCAGTCAAATAATTATAATGTGTTAATATAATCATTTAACGTGTAAAGATCATTAGATTCTGTGTGAAGACAATTTTACATTGTTTAAGACAAGCATACAGAGATCGTGTTCAGATAATAGTACATCGAGTTATTTATCACTTGCATTTCCCTTTCAAAGAGATATCAATAATTGTAAACAATGTACATAATATTTATAAATAACAAAGAGACCAATTTGTCGAAGGGTATTTAAAACAAATGTATTCTTAAATTCTTGTAAATTTGGATTTGTCACAAAGAGACCGTTATTACTTATCAGTATGAATATGTGGACATATTCATTCTTCATGTGAGTTTCTTTTTCAAAATATATACTTGTTGCAATGAAGAAACAACATCTTTCATTAATAAGATAACTCTGATGTAAATAGTAAACTCACAGAACAGATACTAGACTCGCCTATAACTAGAGAAGAAATATTAGACAGCATCCAGAATCATAAGCTTAACATATCCCCAGGAATAGACAATATGATACCTGAACTGTTTAAATATTCGGCTGACCTTTTAACTCCATACTTAGATTTATTATTCAACCTGATACTTGAAAAGGGTAACTTTAAGGGAATAATAGTTCCTTTGCACAAAACTGGCGACTTAAACAAAGTTAATAATTACAGAGGGATAACACTTCTCGGCATTTTCACTTCAGTTATCAATAAGAGGTTAGTATTTAGGGGGGAAACAATGGATAAGTTAACTGAATGCCAGGCAGGTTTTAGACAATGCTACACAACCATTGATAATATGTATATTCTTCAAAGTATCGTCCAGAGATACCTTAATATTAAAGGGGAAAATTTTATGTGTTATTTGTTGACTTTGCAAAAGCATTTGACTCTGTGGAAATAAATAAATTATGGAACATTCTAAACACAAGTGGGCTAAGCCCTAAAATGAATAATCTCTTAAGACAAATATATGAGAATGTTAAAGCTTGTGTCAGAAAAAATAATGTAGTATCAGAAACCTTTGACATTTACATATGAGTCAGACAAGGCTGTGTATTGAGCCCCTTCTTATTTTCTTTTTTCATCAATGAATTGGCCACGCAGATCGAAAATAATTGTACACATGGTGTACAACTACATCCGGATATCTTCCAACTATTTCTGTTGCTCTTTGCTGATGACATTGTCTTAATATCAAATACTATTATCGGCCTGCAGAGGCAAATATATGAACTGGAAAACTTTTGTAAGCAGTCAAAGCTGACAGTTAATTTGGAGCAAATTAGGCAAATGTATGAACTGGAAAACTTTTGTGAGCAATCAAAGCTGACAGTTAATTTGGAGAAAAAAAAGTAGTGGTATTTAAAAATGGTGGAAAACTAGGAAAAAATGAAAAATGGTATTATAAAAATTGCAAACTTGAAACTACAAATTCTTACAAATATCTTGGTCTATACTTCACTTATCATTTATCATGGTCATTGCATGCAAACTATGCATCAGTGCAGGCACAGAAAGTACTTCTAGGAATCCTAAGACAAATACATATTCTTGGTGATCTCAGTATGAATTCATTTTTCAAAATATTTGATGTAAAAATATATCCTATTCTTTTATATGGCGCAGAAATTTTGGGATTAAATATATTTGGAAAATTAGAAATGGTACATTTGTATGCCTGTGAAAAGTTTTTGGGTGTTAAACAAAACACTTCAAATATCATGCTTTATGGAGAATGTGGCAGGTTTCATTTATATATTACTCTTATTGTAAAGTAATTCGGTATTGGATAAAGTTATTACACATGCCAACCTATCGCTTACCAAAGAAATGTTATAATATGATGCTTTTATATGATAGAAACGGACACAAAAACTGGGCGACTGATATAAAACAATTATTATTTTCTACTGGATTTGGAGATCTTTGGCATAACCAAGGAATTGGAATATATCCGGAATTCATGAAATCATTTACTCAAAGACTAAATGATATGTATTTTCAAACCTGGGAAGATAAATTATCTATTTCAAGCAAATGTGACAATACCTAATGTTTAAAAACAATATCCATAGCGAATTCTATCTATCATGTCTAAATGTAAAATAGTATAGAGTAAGTTTAGCACGATTCCGATGCTCATCTCATGAACTTTTAATTGTGAAAGGTAGATATGTAAATACGAATAGAGAACACAGAACTTGTCAATTATGTAATACAAATGCAATTGAAGACGAGTATAACTTTATTCTTGTATGCCCTAACTACAATAATCTTCTAAGCAAATATATAAGAGAAAAACATTATTTCCATCCAAATAGGCTTAAGTTTTCATTACTGCTAAACAGTTCAAGAAATCGAAATCCTGTCTATGTATATTTTCTACGCATTTGTACATAGAAAACATATTGTTCCATGAACGTGTATAAAGTAAATGTATATAGTGTACTAGAGACCTGAGGCCCTTTCAGTACCGGAATAAAGATTATATATTATATATACATTAATAAGTGAAATAAATGTGTAATGGTTTGATGTAAAAGCCGTTTATGACCAAACATTGCACTGTACATGAGTTACTGTAGCCGGCTATCCTTGCTTCACTATGATAACCTAAAATGCAATTGTTCTGTTGATAAAATATTCAGTGACAACAAGCTGCTCAATGTGTGTTACAGAGGTATTATTATCTTTTATTCACAGGTTCAGTTCATTAGGCAATAAGATAAGTAACAGATAATAAAACTAATACCCATTAATTACTTACAGAAAGTGTCTTGAATAATGACGATATATGAAATCGTTGGGAACATAGGTTGACAAATACAGACCATATCTTTGATCTATTAAATTCCAGTTTGGATATAAATCATATTAATTAATTCTACATATATTAAAGTCAAATACAGGGTACAATGTGTGAAGCCTATTTATGGTGTCCCCCTCCGTGATATTGCTGGAATATTGCTAAAAGCGGCATAAAATCATACTCACCCACTCAACTCACTCTTTTACTAAAGTCAAAAACTGTATCGGTAGCCCATATTATGCAATGTATTTTTTTTCCTGGGCTCGAACCTGGTGGAAAAAACATTCAGAACATTTAATAAGTTTTTAACGTACATTTTATCATGTGAATACAATTAACACACGGAAGGATGACACAGTTTCACATCAAAAGGAGTCCCCTGTCTGCGCGGTATGAGTTTCACTTCAAGATATCACCTAAAAATTCATCAACTATGACTCTTCAAATTTTACGTCCTAATTACAGAAAATGATCCATCAAATTAAAAAATCAAGACACATTATTTAATATGCTTCAAGTTTAATTGACTACTTTTATGCTGACGCTGCAACATCTCGTATGTCCTGAATAGTGGAGATCGGATATGACCTTATGTAAATTTAGCTAAGCCTTGACACATGTATGTAGTTTAGGAGGTGTCTTTTATAGCGGTATCGAAACTGGGTTTATGGAGTATACGATGGTCGCCGGTTGGCGTGAATGGAGGTGTGTTTACCGCGCAGGTGTTTGGTTACAGAACACAAGCTGCTAATGTATCCCACTGAAAACAATATGTATGTTCTTCCATGTTCTTGCATAACAAGTTATAAAAACTGCTTATATATAATACATAAGTTATGCGTTTTGACCAATTAAAGCAGCTCAATTGCATTTAACAATATTTAACAAATTTAGATTCTGAACTGAGCGTTGACATTCTTCCTCCCTCTCATACTTTGAGGATGGCACAAGTCGAACTGTCAAACAAAACATATACTCGTGGGTGCGCTTCCAATATAAAAAAAATCTATTCCGTCTTATTGGGTATTGATGTTACATTGCATATGGGAGAAACAAAGGGTAACTTATCTTAATATTAACGACAAACTCACTGAATTCATCTAGTCGTAATTTGTACTGCAACCGTAGTTGTGCACCGGACATTGCGTTGAATAAACCGTGAAGTAAAAGCCTGGGCTCGTTACGCCGATAGACTCTTCCCTCTCATACTTTGAGGGTGGTACCAGCCGCCTTAATTAGTATTTGTAAATAATTTTCAGCTGTCAAATAAACATTATATTCGCTTTCAATAAAAAGATCAATTCCGTCTCACCATGCCACAGAATATCCAGGTCCATTGTCAGGAAAAGCCAAATGGTCTATAATCAGTATCCGGTGGTGTTTGAAATGTTCTGAGCCTGACGAGGATGGATGTGTGGTATGTCCATAACAGCAGGCTTGTATTTACAAACACTGTCCGTGCTTACAGACTGCAAAATACGCATTGTTAACTGAACAGCATATTTACATACACATCAAAGTACAAGGGTACTCTCTATTGATGAAAACTGGTCAAGCTTGGCTACCGCCGCTGTCATCAAGTACATATAACTCGAACAAACATACCGCCGTGATGTTGCTGGAATATTGCTAAAAGCGGCTTAAAACCAAACTCAGTCAGTCAGTCTAACAGACATTATGTTCTCTGACGCATTTTTAAAGCAACTAGATTAATCTGTGCCCACTAAAAATATATGTAAACATATATATCATTGTTCAGGTCTCAATATTATTTATGACTTCGTATTTAGTGGAAGCGTTTGATGAAATACTAGTTCATGACCTTACTTAGTTATGAAGAGCCATGTACCTTGGATTGTAAACGCCAACTTGGTGCTTGGATTGTAAACGCCAACTTGGTGCTTGGATTGTAAACGCCAACTTGGTGTTTGGTGTTACAGCTACAGACTCGCGAAATTCGTCGCAATGCGTTCTGGTATAGTTTTCCAAATGATTTTTACAAGAGAATGTTTTGTGTAAAATTGGGGATATGTTTTAAGCGGGTGGTTATGCTCTTAACTTTCCATCCCTTATAGATAATGAGCCTTGCCTCTACCCTGGGAGGACGGTGGGGTAACCTATAGTCCGTCAACTGAACTATTGGCACCCTGTTTTACACAATTTACCTTTTAACCAAAAATGCCTTCAAAATGTTTTTGTTCATACGCTCTTTATATCTTATGACCTATCTAAGGTTAAAATTTCATAATTTTATGTCAATTATTAAAGCTTCTTCTTAAGAAGCCATCATATAAAATAGAAGTAGTTATACAGGGGAGTAAAATGATATGATGGAACAGCCAACAACATGGTGTGACACACGTGCATCTCATTTACATTGTTACGCCTGCAAGCAAATCTACAGGGACTGTATAATCATCACAAATCCATTTTAAACAAGTAGATTTTTTTATTCTTCAATTTACTTGATGATATGGACTCATTGGATCGGTGTAACAGACGTATGAGGTCCCTTACAACCCTTCTATCGAATTAATCAAGCTTTCTTTTCTTTGCATGTTTTGAGACGGCCCCCGAGTTAACTGCCATGTCATCCTCAGGCTCTGAAATAGTGCCATGGGAGATAACTCTTTGCAAAGTTCTTTTGCAGATCTTGGTGGCATTAAATGTTCTTTTGGTGAAACACTCAACTGAGATAAGAGTTTTTTTCGCTTTGCCTCGCGCTTGAAAAAGTTGTGAACTCTTTTGATGATTTGCCGGGCATCTTTGGGCAACATCGTTTTCACTACTACTCTTCAACCTTTTGCTGACGATCTTTGACATCACTTAAGCGTGCTAATGTAAATACGCGTGCATGTACATTTCACGCTGACACACATTTTACAATGTTGTTGGCTTTTCCATCACGTGCGTTAACCCCTCGTAAAACTCTCCACAGTTTTACAATTATTACATGATAGGTTTAAAGGCAAACTCTTTAATAACCGTTTTGAAATGAATACACTCGATATCGTGATAGGTCACGGGATACAATTGCCATATGAACAGAGTAATGTTTTAAAATATTCAGGAGTTTTTTGTAAATTGTGAAAAACAGGGTGCCAAAAGTTAAATTGACGGACTATAGTGGTTAAAGCGTTCGCTCGTCACGCCGAAGACCCGTGTTCGATTCCCCACATGGGCACAATGCGTGAAGCCCATTTCTGGTGTCCCCCGCCGTGATATTGCTGGAATAGTGCTAAAAGCGGCGTAAAAATAAACTCACTCACTCACTCTACTATGGGCATTTATCGTAACTGGGACATGCTCTCACCGTAATGTGGAGTTATGTCCCTTCCACTGTTGGCCTGTCAATGTACACGCAGCACGGTGATCGCCTGATTACACAGTACTAGAAATTAGGACAACTCTAACATTACCTTAAAGGGCAATAATCCATATGTGTGTCATATTATATGGAATGTTATTTATGGGCATGTGTTAACCCTGCAGACGCGGTGGCACCCTTTTATTGCACCCACTCTAGGGGCCATTGACATGGGAATAAAATATTTCCGTATCAATCATATATAACGTGGCTGTAATACCTCAATATCCTAAAATGTCACTTTCTTCCATACTTATAACATGATCCTTATTGTTTTGTCTTTTTATTATGTTTGTATATGTCCTTTTTTACCGACCTACACAATATTGAAATTATGTATGTAATGGAATCATCTAATATTGCAAACTGTGTTTCAGGCGGGGGTGGGGTGGGGTTGTGGGGGTGATGATGGTAAGTGAACACCCTCCATGTCATGTATAAAATCAATGACACCACCCCTACCCCTAGTGCATGTATACAAACTTGATGCCCCCACCTACCCAGTTCTAATAGGTGCCCCCCCTTAAAGTCACCATCATCCCCTAGCCATATATTATGAATGGTCACTGCGCATATTCAAACGTTTCTTATTATTGTTTAAAAATATATATACATAAAACAGAAAGTTGTCTCCCCTTACAAGGAATATCCCCTGTCCAGTGAAATAATGCAAGTTATACTGACTTAACTAAAGGGATGCGTCGGTCCCGCGTGCAATCCAACACTATGATGATACCCCGTCTAGTGTCTGTGTTACACACATGTTTCAGTGTTTCAAACAACAGTCTGAAATGGTATGATAACCCGGAAGAGTACAAGGGGCCAGTAATGTATAGTTTCCTACTGATATTCCCTTTACCATTACATATACGACGAAATACCACATTCCAGACTGCGTAATCGAAATAATTGATGTTGTGCTGAACTTTAAGCATTGTACAAAGAGCAGGCTATTTTGTTTTTCATGGACGCGTCAACCACCAGATCTGTGCAGATACTAATTATGATCGTTGTTACTCATACTACAGATGTTGATGTCAGTAAATTTCCCTCTTTACATAAATGAAAATGAATAAACATATAAAAATGAAAATGTTATCTTCAGACACCAGAGAAATCCTACTGGACAGAAAACGAGGCAACTCAGTTGGGTACCGTGGAGGTCAAGCCTGCCCTGAGGTCCTTCAAAGACTGGCTTCAGTATCAGGACAATCTGCCACCGAGTGATCACTGGATGTTGTTTTCTGGGTAAGCGTTTCTCTTTATCTTGATCCACATACATTTGCCAGCGGCCCTGTGTGTATCAGTGTCCATATCACCAATGATACCGAGGTGATCTTGTCCCCAGGCCAATAACACGAGACGAGCAGAGGTCAGATGACCGATGTCTCTCTAATTGTTTGTCGTTATTGAATCAACTGCTCACGTTGGAATTGATCTAACTGGAAGATTGTCACAGTGATTAGTTCTATGATCCAGGGACCATTTTATGCGGTAGCGACTGGAATGTGTTAACGTTGATACATACTTTCGTTTCAAATAAGAGCTGAGTTTGAATACTGGAATGGAAATATAAAAGGTATACATGTGAATTCCGTCCTGTCCCACACTGATGCGCATGGTGCACATGTGGTGTCTCCATGGGAAACTGACTTTGATTGTACCCAACAGTGAATGGGTACCCGGCAGGGTGGGAAAGTCATGTGACGGTTAACCTTGAGCCACATGCTGTTTGGTTGTATGCTTATAAGGGAGATAATAAATGTTAAATCGAGTTCAAATCCATTAATCCGGGTGATTATACGCCAGCGCGTCGAGCAAAGATTTCTATAAGAGTTACATTGCGTATGGATGTTACATTGCGTATGGGAGAAACAAAGGGTAACGCTGAAAGATAGACTCCCCTTTGTATGCAATGTACTCCATGGTACCCCTCAACGTGATATATTGATAAACTCTACACACTGACATACTCACACAGCACTCCATCCCTTGTTTCAGGTACGACCTGACCAGCAGCGGTTCCAAGATCGTAGCAGGTACTGTCACCAGCAGTGCCAGATAGATTCTACAGCACACATAGAATGAACGTCTGTTATAGACAACATATCACTATTTACATAACGGCATACATCCTGACATATACAAACTTGTCTTATACACATGTGTATAATGCACTTCGTGGACAATTAATCAGCCGTTCTTTGTTGTTAGGTCTGGCTACCTTAGCTGCAATGTGCACCTCGGCGTCTGTGTCTATAATAGAGCAGGACTACTCGGCCAGTGTCGGGGCTACAGCAGCACACGAACTGGGACACAGGTGGGTACAGCAGCACATGAACTGGGACACAGGTGGGTACAGCAGCACATGAACTGGGACACAGGTGGGTACAGCAGCACATGAACTGGGACACAGGTGGGTACAGCAGCACATGAACTGGGGCACAGGTGGGTACAGCAGCACACGAACTGGGACACAGGTGGGTACAGCAGCACATGAACTGGGGCACAGGTGGCTACAGCTGGGGCAGGTGGGTACAGCAGCACACATGAACTGGGACACAGGTGGGTACAGCAGCACACGAACTGGACACAGGGGTACAGCAGCACATGAACTGGGGCACAGGGGGTACAGTAGCACACATGAACTGGGGCACAGGTGGGTACAGCAGCACACGAACTGGGACACAGGTGGGTACAGCAGCACATGAACTGGGACACAGGTGGGTACAGCAGCACATGAACTGGGACACAGGTGGGTACAGCAGCACACGAACTGGGACACAGGTGGGTACAGCAGCACATGAACTGGGGCACAGGTGGGTACAGCAGCACATGAACTGGGACACAGGTGGGTACAGCAGCACATGCACTATGAACTGCAGCACATGCACTGGGCACAACACAGCAGCACATGGGTACACGAACTGGGACACAGGTGGGTACACATGAACTGGGGCACAGCTCATGAACTGGGGCACAGGTGGGTACAGCAGCACATGTACTGGAGCACAGGTGGGTACAGTTGCACATGTACTGTGTACTACAGCACAGGTGGGTACAGTTGCACATGTACTAGAGCACGAGGTTGGGTAGGGGAAGGGAGGTACAGCTCCACATGTACCACATGTACCACGGAACAGGGTGTGTGTGGGGAGGGAGGGAGGTTGCAGGTGTACATTGTAGCCTTGGTGAAGGTTTTACTAGGTTAGTTCTGAGTGGTCAGTATTACTGATGAACCAGGCACCTATTGACACCACTGTTGATTAACTCGGGCATGGATGACGTTATTACTGTTAACGAACCATTGCACTAATGTTCTTCCTTCAGTCTGTCCGCGGTGCATGATGGGACTTTAATGGCCGGGGGTTGCCCCGCCGCTGACAACTACATCATGTCCAATAAACTCTTCAACCCCACCAACAACGCAACGGCATCACGACCGTGGGAGTTTTCCTCATGCTCCGTGGCTGCATTCAGAAACTACCTGGCAAGGTGAGACATCAAAATCACCTGTTGAGGATCGTATGGTCACAATGTTGTTACTAGCACATCACGATGTTACTCTAAAGTTACGAGTATGTATGAACCATTTTATCAATCGATCAGTTTTATTAGAGGAGAAGTATATAGTTACTACGGTTCGCTGTATATCGGAATGTTAGAGATCCATTCATATGGGGTAATATTCATATTCAAATAGCATCACTATTTATCATTCATTGTACGTGGGCAGTCTTCGAAAATTTCACATATTTTATCTTGATATCAGTGAGAATATGCAGTACGAATGCACAAGAATCACCGGGCGTAAAAATTCACCGTATAAAAATTAACATTCGTTTTGATATAAAGCACCAAGGCACAGTTTGTGTTCCGGCAGTGTACGCATGTAGATGAACTGTGTCTGCATTAGCTGGTGACTGTTAATATAACCGATGGAACATAGTGCCAAATATACCACCTTTTAAACATGGTATGAATACATTGATATACCCGTCTCTGGAACGACTTAACATTTCAGGGTATACTGTGCCAGGGAGACCGGAAAGACGGTGTCCCCAGTCACCACTAAACTGGTTCCAGGCCAGGTGTACTCTAGCGACATACAGTGTAAACTAGCACTCGGCAATCAATCCTATTTTGGCAGGGTGAGTAACCTCACAAATGTCTCCAAACACAACCACGCATTTTTTGTGTCTCGGATGTATCAAGGAAACTGTCGTCCTCGTTGTGGCTCTCATTTATTCCCGAAGAGATGTCGGAATGAGTGCGTGAGTGAGACGTTAATACACGTTATCTCTGGGATTTGCCGTGTTTTAACTTATATTAACCTGACAGAAACTACAGAAACGATCAGCTATTAAATTCATCACACAATAACAACCAACATTCAACACCGTATATTTCGAAGTCTGTTAACATGAATCGATATACGTTTAGTGAAAATTCTTTAATTCCAACACTATGGACATATATATATGTCAATAGTGTGCGATATATATATTTTTTTATATATATCCTTATTGGGATTCACGGTCCTATCGGTATCCTCATCTTCACCGTGTTTTGCTCTTCTTGTACAAGTGACCTGGCTAGAGACCCGAACATGTGAGGTGGAAGACCAAAGACCCTAGGCGTGTATTAGCCCTACAAGTGACAATGCCAGAAATACGTCAGAAGTAGATTTGACATATCTGTGTCATTCTCAACTGACACTTTCTGTCGTGTTCAGTGTCACGCACCTTGTCATGTTTGTTGGTTGGTATCCTTAAAAGGGCACTTCTGTATAGCGAGAACACACGGATCAAAACTGACATTGTGATTGCATAAAGGTGTTCACCAAAATGTGAAACATTTGCCTACATTTCGTTTAGATCGTTAGGAGTATTTCAACTTAGGTTTAAGGGGATTGAAAGCTCGGGAATGTTAAGATAGATATATGCAGTTGATTAAAGACCAGGGATCAATACCACACAGTATCAGGCATAATGACATGACCATGCCGTCAGTGTATCGAAGGGGTCCAGTATGACAGGGTGGTCACTACCGCAGTGGATCTTGCATGCCTTCTGTAAGTAAGCTTTCCAGCACGCATCGTGTGTAGTGCAGGTGGTCCTGATTGACAAGGAGGTGTGTACTGCTGGTGAACCAGTATAACAGGGTGGTGGGTAATTCAGGGATTCAGTATGACACGATTCTCTGTACTGATGGGATCAAGTATGACAAAGTGGCGTATTTTGCTCAGGTGGTCAGTATAGCAGAAGATCAAGTATGATAGGGCGGTCTGTCTTGCACTCGATCCAGTATGACAGGGTGGTCTGTATAGCTGAAGATCAAGTATGATAGGATGGTCTGTATTGCACTCGATCCAGTATGACAGGGTGGTCTGCATTGCACACGATCCAGTATGACAGGGTGGTCTGTATTGCAGAAGATTCAGTATAACAGGGCGGTCTGTATTGCTGGGGATTCTGTATGACAGGGTGGTCTGTATTGCAGGGGATCCAGTATGACAGGGTGGTGTGTATTGCAGAAGATTCAGTATAACAGGGTGGTCTGTATTGCACACGATCCAGTATGACAGGGTGGTCTGTATTGCAGAAGATTCAGTATAACAGGGCGGTCTGTATTGCTGGGGATTCTGTATGACAAGGTGGTTGTATTGCTGGGGATTCTGTATGACAGGGTGGTCTGTATTGCAGGGGATCCAGTATGACAGGGTGGTCTGTATTGCAGGGGATCCAGTTTGACCGCGGCTTTGACTCGATGTGCAGGGCCATGTACTGTGCCATCCCGGGACGACCACGCTACTTCCAGAAGAGCTTCCCAATGGAGAAGACAACGTGTGGAGATGGAAAGGTTGGTTTTAACATCGCTGTAGTGCGCATCTCAAATTGTAGCGCCTTAGGCGATTTGGCCACACGCGCCCCTGAAACATAAATGCTTTAATATGAATGGCAGTCAGATGTCACAAGTGCAAAGACAGTTAGATAATGAATGTGGCTATGTGTAGCACTTTGATACGGTGTTTCATTTGTTTCCATTGTAGTGGTGCATTAAAGGAAGATGTGTCGTGGATCCGGAGGCACCCAGAACACCCGGTAATGCATAGCGATAAATATAGTATTTCCTTTCAACTGAGAAAAACAGAGAATAGTCTATCGCACTGTTTAGTTAAAGGCGCCAGTTAGCCATTTAAGAGGTGGTCGGTAATTGAAATATTGAAAACTGAAGACTCTATTGTATGTTAGCCTAAATGTCCTCTGATACAATCTCCAGCAATCACTTTATGTGGAAAAATTGAATTCTATCAAGCCAATAAAAATTATAATTTCATTTAAGGTGTTGAAAGGTAATACAGTAACATAGATATATTTGAATTTCAGAAAACTGTCCGCAAGGGGACGACCCTGAGGAGGCCTGTCAGGTGTCCGACTGTCCATTCCTCACAGATAAGGGAACAATAAGCTACTGCTGTGCTACCTGCGGAGTCAAACCTGACATAGTACTGCACACCATGCTGTCAAACACAACACCAACGACACCAACTACAACCACTACACCGACCAAAGAGGTCATGTCATCACCGCCCTCTAGCGACCACCAGGACAGGGCGGAGAACTCTTGGCATGACACTATTGCACCTGAATCTTCCACAAACACCAAGGATTCTTCGGACTCTGTGTTGCCTGGAGATTCAGAGTCTGGTGATAATGGTCTGTCGAGTGATGTGCCTTCGGGTAGAGATCCAGTCTCAAGTCTAACCACAAGTCCTAACAAGGGAGGACCGAGCGACATCGGTCCCGGACTATTGGGAATGATACAAGGAATATTTTCAAGATTTCGAAATATGTTTGGTGGTTCCAGCAGAGGAAGGAATTCATATAGAACCTACCCACACGACACAAAGAGAAACTCTTCCGTTGTCGTGGTAACAGGAGACGCCAGTACCAGATCCACAACAACCCCAAAACGTGGAAATTGGTTTATTCGAATGTTTGGCAACAGAAGCGTTAGCAATAATAACAGAACCAAAGTCAAACCAATTTCTGTTCATCCGGTTGAGGACACAGGATACATCACATCCGTCCTGAACAGCCCTGGTAATGGTTTCTTTTCGTGGCAGTCAGACCCAAACTCTGGATATTCCCGTTCCTCCAACCCTACACCTATAATTGGTGGATTTTCACGATTCTTCAGCATTGGTGCTAGGGCCAAGGGTAACGCTAGCAATGAAGACAAAGCTATAGTAAGTTCAGTTCCTCCTATTGAATCTAGCCGTAGAAATACAGCAAGTATTGCTCCAGTTTCCAGAATATCCACCATCCCCGGGGGTGTTATTTCCAGGTTTAGCAACAACAACGGAAGACTGAGCCCTCGTTGGCGATCACGTAAAGTTGTGAGGGTGTCCAGTACCACGTCAGCTGACTCAGGATTTTCAACTATCACTCTCAGTCGACCAGGAGCAAGTCGATCGTTCTGTGTTTCCTGTTCTAGTTCCTGGACAGCTAAACAAAGGGAGATAAACCGACAGGAAAGAAAGGCGAGACAATCTTCACCATGGTCCAGTCGGTATGGTGGATATAGAAACATATCTTGGCTTTCCAGAAATGCCATCCGTGAGATTGCAACATCGAACACAAATAGTGATGCCTTCAGAGTTCTTCGGCCTGTGCCAGGTATCTTTATTGGGACATGAGTATATCTTTGTTGGGTGGGAGCACCAACCAGACCCTCTTCAGGGTTGTGGAAAAATGTTACCTGTTTGTTCGATGGAAAAATACTGTTGGAAGCAGAGTGTTTTGTTGGCTCGAAAAATCAACATTTTGGCGCCTGATGGCTTAACGGTATTAATGCAACTATTGCGTAGGATGAGTGACAGTGTCCATTCCACCAATAGATTTCAGATTAAATCTTTCTTTCTTTTTTCTAAATATCCGGTAATCTGACAGATGCAATAGGAAACCGTAATCAGGGAAATTGAGGTATTACCATCTTTAGTATATTTCCGGTCAGAAGTGTTTCTTAAAAACATTCATGGATCTATATTATGTCAATTCAATCCACATTCAATTACATCTCCCTTTCAGTACGCACTGTTCATACGGATGCATCAACTGTAGGCTCAACTCGCGTCCGGCGTAACACTGGAAACACACTTAAAACAATTATGATATTGGAAAATGGTCAAAATTAGTGAGCCACACGTAAATACCACTTATATTCTTTGTCATTATCCATGCTCATTGCTAATTATCCAAGTGTTCAAAAGTTGGACTGTTCCTCTATAGAGAACTATTATACAGAATTAAAGCATCTTCTCAGCTAAGATTCGGACCAATTATCTATAATATCCAAACGTAATCATTAAGAAGATACATGTCTTTTTGCTTTATCTGTAGACATCCAAGAGGCATTTACACGTATATCTGCTTGTAATCTTCCCATTAGCAGCAAATGACGGGAATTTGATTGTTTTGTATATAATCACATCCTTTTTCTAACTTAGTCCATCTGCAATAGTTTCATCTCTGTACATGAAGAGTATTTTTGTTATCCGTTATTGAAATCCGGGCAAGTCTTCTGTCTCCAACTCATTCCCACAATTTGTCACATAGGTAGTATTTATGAGGTACATGTTTGTTTTGTTGCTACAGTCCTTGTAGGAGAAACTGTTATCCTGCCGAAAGGATCACACATATGACTTTAAGGTCATTTAAAGTTAAAATATGATTTGCATTGGCTCTGTGACTCTCCTTTTCACAAGACGTCAAACAGTTTTGGTTTTGATCGGTAAAGGTCTTTTGTCACAATGAGTTACAAAATAGTCCGCATCAAAACGGAAGAGTTGTATTTCCTTACCTCGTGTATTTCGCCATTCTTGTTCACAAGATTTTGGCATACTGACAGAGATGGTCACTTGGTGAACGAGGCTGGGTTCCCAAAACGTTCGAGGCGTAATAACAGTGTTAAAGTTAAGTTACACTGTAGAAATACGGTAATTGTGGACCAATGAACACTTTGCTGAATGGAACCTGGTCTTTGTTTGATAACCGTTGAGCGAGTGTCACACTGGCTGGGTACTAAAGCAAAGATGATGTAGTTTATCTTAGTGTATCCAAACATATAAATGTACAATAACGTATGACATAATACCCCGTAAAATACGCACGCACATAGGTAATGTGTAAATGCTCTAAATACATTGAAACCTCACATGTCAAATATTAATTCTGGAATGTGTATATTGCTTGCTTGCTTGTTGTAGTACGCTACATTCAGCAATATATGACGGCGGTCTGTAAATAAACGAATCTGGGCCAGATGATCTAATGCTTGACATCAGGAATGCAATACTTTGCGCATTAACATTGACTTCAGCACTTACAGTTCGGGGTACAGTTACCTCCCTTGTGTCGTCATGACAACGGTGTATTTTCAGCCTCTGTCCCATAACAAAAGGCTCTTCAGGGGTGATGGAACGTATACTGTTACATCGTGACAGAGACCGAATAGCGCAAGTGGTCGGTCAAGACGCATAAACTTCAGCGATTGCCTGGAGTCATCAGTGCTTTTTACGCCGGATGGAATATATATGGTTAGTTAATCCAGACTGGTATTCTGTCGTTGTCGTATAATATCTACTACCTGTAAAATACATACGGGATATGAAAAGGGTTTTATACTGAGAAACTTATAAAAATTAGGATTTCATCAACTGTTTTCATAAACTTATGGAAGGAGGTAAATGAAAAGAAATATTTTCTTGAACCTATATAATATACTTGTGTGAAGATTGGGTCAATACCGCAGACTGTAATAGCCAAAGTAAGCAATCACACCATACATACTTAAACATTGTTTTTTACTCTATGTCTGAGTGATGTGTATAATGTGCACCTTTAATAAAACCATTTTCATAAAAGCTTCATTTTTGTTATGACAATATCATTCGCATAACCAAGTAAAAGATATAAACTGCATCAACATGTCAACAAACTTATACTGTGCGTAATACCCCAGGTAGGATATGGCGGATATTTACAGTTATCTGTTAGAGTGTCACCCACATTAAAAACACATTTACTCTTTAAGCCCCAATCAGCAGGAATCCGCTTGTAGATTTAGCATCGGTGGACACATATAGCAACAGTATAGCATCGGTTAGGTTCAGGATACCTGAACACGTGTGTGAAATAATGAAGTCAGTTTGAACTGATGGGGTACCTTATCGTTGTTCGGTAATTACATGCATATATCTAGCATGTTGTATGTTATAATCATTTTATATTATCATTGTTCCCAATACGTTGAATACAAGCATACAGATGAATATGAGTACAAACAGCTTCGGGCTCAATAGAGATATAGTACATTAAATGTCAATACCAACAGTTATATGTTTTGGTTAAATAGTTATTCAGGATTAAATACTGGGATGAGAGGAAACCATCTGGCCAAAAAGCTTTCCAAATAATAATTTCTTCTGGAAATGAATTTTTCAGTCTTTCAAAATCCTCAAGTGATTATCGACTTTTGGAATTGTTTTTCCAAACAAAAAGTGTAAAGATACCGTTTAGCAGATCATAGGCGGATCCAGGAACTGTCAAATGGGGTGCGGGTGTTTCAGGGAGTTCGAAGCCCTGGATCCGCCAATGGAGAAGATTATGTGATTCAGTAATGGGTTCAGTTTTAATAATAAACATACCTGTCCCAGACACCTGTATCATCCACGCGCCATGTTACAATGCGTGAAAACTGCATGAAATATACGTCACTGTGATAAAACCATTTCTACACTAAACGTAGAACAACTGCTAAAATAGTAGAGAATCTGCTAAACTCCATTCTATGATTCCGACTGTATCAAGAGCATGTGGTTATCATTGAAGACTGCAAAGGCAAGCCAGTTGTTCAGCTGAAAATACAAAGAAACATATGGTGCACATCAAAGTTGGGAATTGCATTGGTCATATTTGTTGTCACTGTTGCGTCAATATACGAGGGCGGTGGGGTAGCCTAGTGGTAAAAGCGTTCGCTCGTCACGCCGAAGACCCGGGTTCGATTCCCCACATGGGTACAATGTGTGAAGCCCATTTCTGGTGTCCCCCACCGTGATATTGCTGGAATATTGCTAAAAAGCGGCGTAAAACCTCACTCACTCACTCACTCACTCAAATATGCGAGTCTCCTCGACATGTCCACTTTAAAACATTTGAACGTTTTTAAACCTTCAGCGTTTCCATTCCGATTTTTGCGATATTATTTTTCTTACTGCGATTAACCCTTTTTGGTTTTGACATGTTAGCTATTGATAAGTGTCTCTTCTGTTAATGTTACAGTCTGTAGTCTGAGAAAGTCATTTGTGTTTAAGTTGATATGTGCTAAAACCATGAGAATATTTTTCTTTGGGTATAGTTCTAAAAATATTAACAAACATCATATGATATACAGCCCTTGGCCATGATGATGACCTCAAGAACATTTATAGCAACGAAAAGGACATTTAACTTCCGTAGAAATCAGCATTTCAATATAATTTTGATAACATACAGATAATTTACATTACCTAAAATAAGCACCAAGTAAAATGTAATCCAACATTTGATAAAAAGATCTGAAATATGATTCTAGATTTTATTCATTCAATCGGATTAAACAAGTAACATGGGAGAATAAACATACTGTTGAGTGTTTAAAACATGTTTTGAATCAATTTTGGAAATAGGGACTGTCAATATATACTTCAGACGGGAAAATACCTATTAACCTGTCATCTGACGTTGTGTGTCAATCCAGTACTTGTTGTCGAGTAGTTGCTCATCAAATCCAGAACTTGACCTCTCACAGATTGACAGACATGGTCACACGTACCAGGACGAGACTAGTAATCTGTCATTGGAGCTGTGGAGGTCAACGTATACTATTGTGTCTATCAGCCGATACGTTGGATGTAAGTCGCTTGAAAATGATGGTTGTGACTGAGTGTGTAGGATTTTACGCCGCTTTCAGTAACATTCTAGCAAGGTGTGGCGGGGTAAGGGGTGGGGTGTGTGTACCACAAAGTGTTAAATGATATATAGACATGGAGAAAAGTATCGCAACACCCATTATTATAAATACACATATCGTCAGAAATATTATATCATATTACTTATGATGTATGACAATTGTGACCCTATGGCCGCACCATACATTGATTTTTAGATATGCTCGTGTTACGATCAAATGCTAGCATCACGTGCAATATGTGTACCCGTCATTAAGCAAGTATCAAGTATCAGTAAACTGTTCTTACAGCTCAATAACTTTGAAAATCAATTGATTTCGTTGTTGTAAATATGAGGATCCCTCAACTGACGACTGCTCAAAGATTATCGAAATGCATGTAAATGGTCTGATAACTGGTTAATGGTTAATGGCTATTGTAAGAGATGTTTGTCATCATCCATCGACTTTTAGCTGATTGGCCAGAAAACAGTAAACTAATAATGTTAAAGACTGTCAGGTCGACCGCGAGTGACAACTCCCATGGAGGATACAGCCCTTCAAGAATTCTCGCGATTCTCATGAAACCTAAACACCGATCATCAAAAATATTTCGGCGCCATAAATAACGTAAATATATCACGAGTAACTACTAGTTCACTGTGATGTAATTTTATGATGATGTATTTTCACTCAGTCAAGTCATGATTATCACTTCCAGTTTCTGATCTGCAACTGTTCCACCAAGAAAGACCTCACATTCGCATTATTTAATGGAGACGGACACACGGTTCAACCGTTAACGTCAGTGTACGCCTACTGGCCTAATGATTTACAACCGCGTAATAGTTTCAACTGCTACATATAATATTCTGAAGACGTCTTTTCAGTTACATTCACGTTCTGTCATGTATATATGACTGACTGACTGAGTTTGGTTTTACGCCGCTTTTAGCAATATTCCAGCAAAATCACGTCGGGGGACACCAGAAATGGGCTTCACTCATTGTATCCATGTGGTACCCGGGTCTTCGGCGTGATCATGTACCAAAAAGATTGCACTAGGCGTGAAAGGTATACAAATGGGGAAAAGCTGAATGATTAATTAAATCGGCACATGCTCGGTTTTCAAGTGGATGCTCTCTGCATGTCGCCTTGCCTAAAAAGTGAAACAGAAGGCTTTCTGATTGCTGCTCTGGACCAGCCTCTTACCACTTAATGTGTAGTTTTGCATCGGAATGTAACATTAAATATAGAACATAAAGGCAATTTAATTGTGCCAACTAAATATGGAATCTAATGAATACGATTGTGTGTCATAATTCCGGGAACATTACGTCTCGTCAATATACTTGTGGAGAAATGTCCCAGTAAAAACACGATATCATTATTTACCTCTTTGATCAAGCTTATATTCACACTAAATCTCTGCTACCAGGACAAGGTTCCTCCCCTTCTTCCAACTGTTACTTTCTGCTTATGTTTCCGAATTACTGCTCTGACTGCGAAAACATTTTAAAAAAGTGAAACGGAAATGGATGATGTGATATCGTTATACAGCCGTGAAGTCCTTCCCAGACATTTAAACACCTTGAAAACAAGTAACAGAGACAGTGAAAACGCTACCAGACTGTGTGGCAAGAGAGAGGGTGTTTCCCTTTACACCTAACGGGATTTGTTTCTGAGGATAATCAAAACTGGGTATTCTTTTGCATTGACGTTCCATATATACTCATGCCAATAATGGTTGTCAACCCCTTCAATTTTTTAATTGGAGAGGGAGTGTGGGGTGGGGTGTGAGGTGTGTGGGGGTTGGGGTGGGAAGGGGGGTGACAACCATTATTGGCATGAGTATATAAGCCTTCTGGTGTCCCCTGCGCGATATTGCTGGATTTGCTAAAAGCGTCGTAAAACTTAGCCTTTGGTGTTTATTTTAGAGATGTAATCGGACATGCACCTTGTTGGAAGATTTCAAAGAACATCATATGACTTTTTCTCAAAGTCAAATGTGTTCACCCGGGTTACACAATTGAATACCTTTGAAAGTTTTTAAAGAGTCTGATGACACACTGTATTTCTGTAGCATCAACGACCAACGCCATCATGTCCGATTGAATCCCTTATTTTGACTTGTACCAGACGTGTTGTTAAGGTGGACAATTGACATGCCTTTGCGTGTGTGGGAACCTTGTTATATCACTCTTTGGTACTCATTTTCCTGATGAAGTACGGAAATATTTTGTCAATTAAGTTACATGCTACTATTCTACATTGTAATATGACGCAGGAATACAGATTGTTAGGACAGGGCGTGTATTTTAACATACCACATGCTAGATCCAGGTGTATAACTGGCGGATGTTTGCGTTTGGTTTGTAACATGACTCAACCTTCCCATCCTGACATCCTGAATACGACAGTATTTCGTAGAGGAATAGTTGCATTCGAATGGGGAAAGGTCATATTGTAATTGAAAAAAAATACAGCATAAGAAAAGGAACTACGATTATGTTTTATACATGACACGTTTGCATAAACCCGGAACTCTCCTTTGTATGTATGTATGTATGTATGTATGTATGTATGTATGTATGTATGTATGTATGTATGTATGTATGTATGTATGTATGTATGTATGTATGTATGTATGTATGTATGTATGTATGTATGTATGTATGTATGTATGTCTGTCTGTCTGTCTGTCTGTCTGTGTGCGCGCACAAACATAAAAAGAGTAGAATGTTATACATAATTTCGTCACTCTTCTCTGAAACATTGAGAAGGTTCCTGCAGCAAGACACTGCATTGGTGAAACAGTTTACCTTCAACATAATTCTTGTTACAGAGACACCAGACTTTGGCTTCACCAATGTATGAAGAAATGCATCACTTAGAAAATCTTAAAAGTACTGAAATGTTATTGATAAAACACTGCAATGTC